TAGAATTGTCTGTTTCATAGTTTGTAATCGAACAATATTAAACCATCATTAAAAAAAAACGATTACAAGATCCAATTTTGAACCGGAAATCCAATTTCAAACCAAGACTTAATTCTATTCATTTAAGTCTGCTTTTTAAAACAAAACTAATTTTAATCTTCACAAGAAGCTTTATGGCCTTATTTAATTTTTTCGTTTGTTTGTTTGAATTAGAAATGAAGATTTTAACCAAACTTAATTCGGTCTAAGTTCAAGAGAGACTAATTTTGTTTATTTCTTGAATTAGAAATAAGTTTTTGTTCCAAATATTTAAATTATAAATCTTTAAAAATCACTGTTAATGTTTGTGGTGTTTTTGGAATATAAATTTTTTTAGTGATGCTATATTTCGAACAAAAACTTAATTCATGACATTTTACGGAATTTCTCTATATTTAATGTGAATTAAGGGAGGACGAACAATTTAAAAAAAAAAAAAAAGCAAAACATTAGTAAAATGCAGGTGCAGCAAAAACTTTGGGTAGATGGTAGTTATAATTACTAATTGCATTACACCTAAAAATGTAACTATGCGGCATTATGTTCAGTTTTCATATCTTAATTTTATACAACTTCTCTTTTCTTTTTAACATTTTTCTGGATTACCATTTTTACAAACATGTTTATTGGCATTGAAATTAAGAGACTTGTCAATTTATCACATAACTACGACTTATCATTGTATCAAACTTGTGTTTCACCAGGACTATTACGGTTCATCAGATTGACTGCAATGAATAGAAAAACAGAGTAGTCTATTCCTTTTCGTTGTTGGGTTGTTTTCTATACATTCAACTATACTATGCAGCGACATGTTCAATGATTCTTGCTTTGTTCGTCCTCCCTTAATTCACATACATCGTTTGCGAGGTTCTCTGGATGTTTTTCGTAGAAAAAACTTTGATGTTTTTGTTTTTCTCCTATGCTTTAGGAGTTGTTCTCTGCTAACTCTTTCAGAAGAACGAAGACTACATAGATGTTGAAGACTTCGCTAATACCTCTTCCAGAGGAACGAAGACTACACCGATGTTGAAAACTTTGCTATTGTCCAATTCTCTCTGTCGCATCAATCATGGCATACACCATGGTCTGCTTATTATCCTTCTCCACCATTGTCTTCAGATCATTTGTCGCATCCGCCATCTTCTCCAGCTTTTGAGCTGTTTTAGCATCCGCCATTTTCTCTAGTTTCTGAGTTGTTGTTGCATCCGCCATCCTCTGCAGCTTCTGATATATATACACACACTTGC